CCCCCCCCCGCCCCCAAGACATTTCAGCTCAGCAATTATCCCCGTCCTTTCGGTCAGCTGATCGGGGAGAGTCAGCAGGTCAGGCATGTCTAGCGGGGCAGGGGTGGCACAAAGCGGTACATATAGCCTGCGCTTCACGGAGCAGATCAGCGCTCTGCCGGCGTGACACTCGCTCTCCTGAACCAAGGGAAGCTACGGTGCAGGGTAGAAACGGTGTTTCCATACAGCGTTAAGCACTTATCTTGCAATGCTAAAAACAAGAAAAGCCAGTTGATCCCGTGTGTGATACAGGCCTACTACCGTTTCCTGCGTGCAAAAACCAACCGAGGCGGCGAGTCCTAGCAGTCCGCGTGGGTCATCCCTAGACCCAGAGGCCAACATTCAACATTTGCCCCAGACTGGGGCTGCAGATCGCCCCCCATCACACACACACACACACACACACACACACACAGGGGGGGAATAGACACAGCTGATCTGGCTGCAGACATTTGGGGAGCCAGGGGCTCCCCGGCATCACTCCTACGGGCGGCAGGCTTGCGGCCCCACACCCCGGCCCCCCCCCCCGGGGCTCGGGCAGAGCCTGGACAGCAGCCACAGGCTGGGGACGGGGGAGAGGATGGGGGACAAGCAGCCTCAGCCCCTTTACTGAGCAGGGAGGTGCCCCCAGACATCTTCCATGCCCATGACCTTGAAGGCACCCAGGGCGCTGTCAAGGTCACAGCTGGCTGGGGTCTACTGCACAGCCCCCAGACACGTGTCCCCCCCCCCCCCCCCGGCCCCCGCCCGCCCCCCTCGCTCCCCCCCCTCCTCTCTTATGGGCCGGAGGTGCGGGGCTGAGCCTCCGCACCGCCCACTCCGCACTACACCTCCCGGCGTGCCGCGCGGCTGCCCGCCGAAGGCTGGGGGCGCATCCGCTTTCAGCCAATCACGTGTGAGGGGGTGAAGGGGAACGTTCCATCCGCTCCTGCGTGCGTACAGAACGTTCCGTCCCCCGCAGCTCCTTATATGGCCATAGTGTGTGTGGGGGGGGGGTTCTTTTGTGACGTCTGCGCGGTGCCTCTGCCGGGGAAGGGGCGGGAAGTGCTGAGTCAGCGTGACGCGGTGCCGCTGGGCAGACACGTGGCTGCCGGGTTTGGGCTCAGCCCTGCCCGGGATCGTCTCTTGCAGAGCCCCGGCCTAAATTTCGGCTTCCGCCAGAGCTAGAGGAAAGCAACCCCTCTCCCAGTCCGTACCTGTTTGAGGAGGGGTTTCCTGAAATCCCTTCCTGTGGAAGCTGATTGTTGCTTCGGATTCACAAAGGGGCTAGACACAAAAGGGCGTCCCTAGCTATTGAGCCTGGGAGTGAGGGGCACGGCTTCCGAATCAGAGCCTCCCCGACCCTGCGACTGAGAGAGAAACAGTGGGGAAAACCCTGGTTATACCCTCTTCTGAAGGAAAGTGGTGCACTGGGTGTGTTTGGGTGCCCTTTCTTTGAGTTCAAGTATGTAGTAGTATTAGTGAAAGTTTCAGAAATGAAGCTGTCCTCTCAAAAGTCGTTTTTTTTGTTTTTTTTTTTTAATAATTGATTAAAAACATAAAAAATGACACAAAATTCAATTAACTTCAATTTTATTCAAATAATAAATGATGCAACTAAAAATAATCATATAGCTAAGGGACAAAAAAACCACATTGGATGAAACACTGAACTAAGAAATAACAGTAACAAATAAAAAACACTGTTCTTCAAATACTCCAGGACTCGGGAGGCGACGCTGCGCGTCCTCACTGTTTCAAACTCTGATGCTGCTTGTGACACGTCTACACTTGAGCCACAGCTTTCTCGGCAGACAGGATGGCCTGTGAAGACAGCCTGTCGTCTCCCACGGTCGATTGCAAATACGATTCTCAGAAGTGGAACTGGATCATCTATGCGGTTTTCATCTGATGTCTCCTCTGTGACTGTCTCGCTACTACTGCATGGGTTGTTGTTTCGTAGTTTCTAGGGTCCGAAGGGACCTGAACAGATCAAGTCCGACCCCCTGCCCTGGGCAGGAACCAGTGCTGGGATCATAACACCCCAGCCAGATATTCATCCAAGGTTGTTAACCCGTTACAGGTATTTTTTCATTACAGCTGCATCTGTTTTAATTGCAGACATTAACTCAGCTTTTCATTTCCTGCTGTACATCCCTGACATCTTAAGTACTTGCAACATTTTGTTTCCTTCCAAGTTTTAGGAAATAACCAACAAAAACAGAGAACTTCTTAGTTACAAGAAATGTGTCGCCCTGTGTTACATCGTGATTTATTTAGGATTTTTTTCCTTTAACACCCTCTTAACCATGGTGGCCCCTTGACCACGGGGCCATGGGCAGTCACCCACGTTGCCCACCCGTAAGGCCAGCCCTGCTCTGTTCACTCTCCCTTTCAGCATCTGTTTTGTGCCCCTGTGTGACACAGGAGACTGGGAAGGATGGATCTATGATCTGACCCAGTCAATGGCAGTTGTTATGCTTTTATGCTATTTCTTATGGTGCTAGGTCTGACCCTGAGCAGAGGGGCAAGACCCTCTAGCCGTGAACCTCTGGGTTTTAGTCCCAGAAGGACACTGGCACAACCCAGTCAAAATCCTTAGTCTTGGCTGCAGCCAACACCCAATGCCCCTAAGAAAGGCAAAAACACCTTTCAAACCTCCAACACAGTAGCAGGAGGGGGGGAAATTCCTCCTTGCCTCAGGTGGCAACCAGCACAGCCCAGAAGCCTGTGAAATACCTGTAGCATAGCATAGGCACAGCTACTCCTAGATCATCCCTGACCAGGGGCTGCCCAACCTCCTCCCGAGCACCTCCAGTGACGGCGAGTCCACCACTTCCCTGGGTGTCTATTCCACAGCCTCGCTGCTCTAACAATGATGCTGTTCCTCATCAAATCTAAACCTGCTTTGCTGCAACTTCAAGCCATTCATCTGCATCCTGCTCCTTGCAGCTACGGTAAAAAGGGGATTCTCTCCTTTATGGCAGCCCTTTAGATATTTGAAGACTACAATCATGTCCCTTGGCAGGTTGGCATTGCTGGCATGTGATCCCATTTATTAACCTGCCCCAGCACCAATAAAGCACTTCAGCCCTTGAGACTAGCAATTTATTCACAACAGTTGGCAACTGAGATGGCTTTTCGGTCTGGCTTCCTCTGGGGCAGGGGCTCAAAGTGCTGCCTGGTTTCCCCCAGCCATTGATGAGCCAGAACTGATTACAACCCAGCCAAGGCAGCTTTGTGCCTGTCAAGTTCCTGTAGCCTGCAGTCTGAGGAGGGCTATTGGCTCCTTAAAACCATTTGGCAGTTGCTTCCGCTGTGCAAATGCTTCTGTCTTTTCATCTGCTTTCTCAGCCCAGCAAAACAGCATCCACTCTAGAGTCCACGGGTACTGAGGGAATGAGGCAGTTCATCTCTTCCCCGCCTGGTGAGGCACAAGTGAGTGTCATGGCCTTTGTGCCCCTCTGAACGGGACCGGGCTTCCAGCTAGAAGAGAAGGACATCACATGCATGGCCCAAGTTGAAACCACCGTTCAAAGTGATTTTAAAACCAGTTGGTCTACACCAGTGTGAAAGCAGATTAGAACCTGAATGTAGGCTTTGTGCAAGGTCATTCGAACCCTTGACACTTGACCCATATTCAGTCACCTTGTGGGTTTTCAAGCAGCCCAGGAAAAAGAAGGCAGGCTGCCCTAAGCATTTAAAAATGAAATATCCATTTTATAGTGAATGACAAAACTTTTCAGCCAATGACCAAACCCTATGGCCAGGGCAGTGAGATTGTATGCAGGAGCACTGAAAAGAAGGGGCTATTCACTCTCGAGTCTATTAGTCACAAGTGGTGTATTGTTAGTACATGACATTTTACATGTTTGCAAGCGGAGGCATATAAGTGGGAGCACAAAACACGTATCTAACCTTAAGGTAGCAATGAAAGGGATTGTAGGATGGTCCATACAATACCAAGGGGCTAGGCTCTGATGAAGGATGTCCCTTAGAGCTTCTCCTACGTATGTGCGTCTCCTGCGTGTGTTCCTGTCCTGAGTTTGGATGTTTACTATATTTGTCTGGGTTTGGTTACGCTGAACTGTCGGGAGCGCAGCACGCGTCCTTATCAGTCGGACACAGAAGGGAATTCCACGTAACATCACGGGCCTAGCGCTCTCGGGCCCAAAGTGTCCTTTCAATAAGCCGTTGCAATGTTTCCTTGTGAAACACCTTGGTCCTGTGGTGCGGACAGACCCTGGAAACGGCAAAACATTGGAAGATGTCACAGCTTCCATTTTCTCCCTGCAAAGCCTCCACGGCACCATGTCAGCAGATGCGACGGGGAGGTTTTTCCCTACCGTCTCACCGATGTCTTCAGCCTGGTTGCACACAACTTCTGCTCCTTTCGGCTGAGAGAGCTCAGTCTACTTCCCATACGGCTCGCGGCCGAAGTCAAATCATTTGAGGCTTTGCCTTCCTTTCTTCTTTTGCTGAGAATCTGGACTCGTGAGCTGAGCACTTGGCAGGCACCCAAAACAGCAGTCCTCTAGCAAACAGCGACAGCACCTTATCAGTCCTACTGATCCTATTCACTGAAGCAAACAGTTTCGTAACTGGAGATCAGCTGCGTTCCAGTTAGGTGACGTTGCGTGCACCGATTTACGCGAGCTGAGCTGAAACCTCCTGTTCCTCTTGGTACAAGACGTCCACATTGCTGCTTTCCATGTCTCATCGACGGCACTCTTTCTGTTACACAGAGAAAGGCCCCGGAGTGACTCCAGTAAGAGCCAACGCCTGGTTCCGATAACAGCACAGGACATAAAAACCACAGGACCTGTCTCTTCCTTGCACTAAAGCCCTGAGATGCCCCTTTAGCACTGTAAAATGGCCTTAAAAGCAAGAGAAGCAGCTCTCTGACTACTCACTGTGCAGCAAACTGCTTTAGATGGATAAAATGAATACAGGAGCTCCATTCCACCTGTTTCCACCATGCAGTATACAGGGCACAGGCCTAGCGGCTTGCCACTGAAATGCCTGTCTCTGCTTCCCAAGGTCTGTAGGATGCAGAACACAAGTTATAGCTCCACCTGCATTATAACGTGAGAGCAGGCTCAGGGCTGCT